CTTGGAGCATGAACGCATGGCTTGCTCATTCATTCAGCATATCTCAAATCAGCATCATTTAAAACTCAAGAACAGTTTGGAACAACTACAATTAGTGGCCTACATGGATGTGGTTTTAAAACAGCTGTAGCAAAATCGCGTTCTACCTATAACTATGTAGTACTAGTGGCACAAGTTAATCCTAAATGTGTTTTAACCAGTGTCTCTTCCTTTTTTCTACATCACATTTCAAGCGCATTTAGAAAGTAAACTTACCCCAACGTGATACAAGCCTCTCGCACTACTTGAGACCGCAGGTCTTTAGCAGATAATTTAAACGCTCCATCCAAAAGTCTTAAGTGTTGGAAGAAGTTATCATATTCTGCAGCTCCAGCCAGAAGTAAGGAGCGGATCTTTTTCAACTGTTAGCACCATAAAAGAAAGCGGTGACTGTTAATGAGCAATGAACACAAGGGCACTTACGTTCAGGGCTGGTCCTTGGTTTCCAGGGTCCTGGTACAACCGTTCCTCAACATGCACTGAGGAACTCCATTCTTAGAGTCCAAACAATTTCATTATTTCAGTTCTTATATTCAATTTACAGGGTAACAGACTAAGTATGATAATATAAACATGCTAGCTCACTGTTACAGGAATCCAGAAGAGTTGCACATGGCTACTTAAGCTTTATTGTTAATAACTAAAACATTTTTTTTAACCAAAAGATATCTTGAAGGTTCTCCTCTGTTCCCCTTAGAAACCACCTATTTACAACAGCTTCTAAAGCTCAGATCCTCTCACAGCTAACTACTGTATTAAAAAGACTACTTGACTTGAAGGGCATGGCTCCTACTCAGATCTGAGTAATACTGACATATCTACTGACTTCATTAAAATGATTATCTGGCTCTACTAGAAATGGAGCCCTGACCCCATCAAAATGGGAAGTTTTCTATTAATATTCCAGGGATCACCATTTCATCCTACAGACATTCTTTTGGATACCTTCAGAGGCCCCATGTATACTGATACATCTGTACAGTGCCTCGAATTAAGCTCACTATCAGTGAGTACAGCAAACCAAATAAACTGAAGTAAGCTGAATCAGCAGGTAGCCACTCAGATCTGTAATACAGGATTTGACAGACATGCCGAAGTTGCTACACCAGTGATGAAAGCCTACAGTGTAGAGGAGATCATGCATCTATTTATGTCACAAAAACATAGTTCACTTCAGTAAATAAAACTCAATCTTGGCATGCATATAACATCTGATTTTCCACAGTCATACTTATTTATTCAAAATCTGTGTAAATTGTTTCTGAATTGTTTTACACTTCTCCTTTTGCAGAAGCATAAAGAAGTTCTCTCTAAGCAAAGTGACTTTCTGCCTCATGAGGAAGATATTAAGATACACTGAATATCACTTTAGACACTGTGATTCCAGCATCTGCTAGCAAATATCTACCTTTACATCTGGATTTGCTGCACAACTTCCAGTTCAACCTGATACTGTCTCAGCAGATTCTTCTGTATGAAACAGCATTTTCCTTCACGGATGTGGTTTAAATTCAGTCTCATAAGGAAACAGTTCCCCCAAGCTTGGGGAAACACAACAGATGCTCACCACCTATACTACGTTCTAGTCTTACTCTGAGGTTCTCTCAGTACCCACTTCACAGGATTAAGCTCAGTGCAGCAAAAACTTACATTACCAGAGTTAATATCTAAGTTCATTACTTACCGCGGAAACTCTCTGTTCCCAGTCATGCTTATCATCTGACAGTATCTCTCTTATTTTGTTTATGGATTCCTCAAGATCCCGACTGGAATAAATCTGCAAATGTAAACACAGAGTAGCATCATAATGTAAGATTTACTCCAGAAAATCATATCACTTCCCAACTACATTCTTACATCCTTTGCTCCTCAATGCTTAAATCTCACATGCTAGCATTGGGCACAGCTGGGCTTTATACCTATTTCCTGCAATCAAAAACTACTAAATCACCAGAAGGTGATTAAAGGATCATGTTCTATGATTTTATAATATTTTCACAATTTCAGGCAGTATTTCTGCAGCTGCCAGTGTCTGTACTAGTGAATACCTACAGAAGATCATGAGTGGATACATGCGCTGCTCAGCTCTCCCAGAAATAAAGCTCTGGTAAAGGGGAGGGGATAGGTGACAACTCAGCCATTCAGCTACATCTACCAGCAAACATGCACTACCCAGTTGTTGCACTTACAGTCACAGCAATCACAGAGATGCAAGTCACCTTTATTGCTTTCAGTTCCCAGGTGGTACCAATGAACTGCAGAGAGGCTTCTGCTGACTTCAGTTTTTGTTCAACCACACTGCACTGTGCAGCATGAGCGTCCAGTTCCAGCTCCTTGTCCGCTCCTGTGATACCTCTGTCACAACTCTCCCACCCTGATTCCCTCCACTTCCAAAAGTTTCACATAAATTACTGGCAGACACCACCATTAAAAATTTGCTTCCCTCCAGCTTCCAACTTGCCTTCTCCTTAAAGAAGATTTGCCAACATCCCAATGAAGCACGATTTGCCAGTGATTAGGACTAAATCCTCTATCCATCATCTGCTTTTTAGTGCTGTGTGTTTTAACATGTAATTCTACTTACCTGAACCGTTGGGACATCTTCAAATGCCTTAATGAAGTCTTCTTCATCCACAGCACCTGCTCCCTCTTTGGCTGCTGACACACAAATGAAAAGGCTGTTTTAATCTTCTTATCAACAAGAGAATCAATTAAGAAACCATGAGCTACCAAAGCACCTAGTCAGGAGAAAGTTCACTATCCATGCAGCTTCAGAATGCTGCAGATGTAATGAAAGCAGAGACAGGGAAATTCAATGCTAGGCACAGATGAGGCATTTACAGCATCCTTCAACTCCTAGGCACAGAGGGCACATTACGGAAGTCACTACAGTAGTCACTAAACAGTGAGGGGAGACAGTCTGAAAGAGGAAAAGGAATATTTACTTTAATTACAGGAGAGATTTTATTTTAAGGGATTTAATCCTGTCTATAATAGATGAAGGTACAGATCTGACAAGTGCAGAAACAGACAAATGATAAGGAAGATAAATAGCCTCTGGAATACTAATCAGATTAGAGACTGATATAGGGAACTTTCTCCATTTCTATAGGTTACATATAGAATTATTGCTCATATCCAGAATTACTGCTCAATGTTATTTCTGTGCCTTCGTTATCAGCAATGCCCAAAGGTCTTCGAAAAAGGCCAAAGTATCAGTTTTAGATCGCACAGGCTGAAGTTTAGCACATAGCTGTAAGCAGCCTGCCTCAGCTCAACTAGAGTAGCAACTATAAAGGCAAGTATCTATACACTGAAACGATTTACTCATAGCCCTCAGCACAAGGGTGCAGGTCCAACCTTTCACAAATGTAAGATGTATTCTAGGGATGAGGGGACTGCCTGGAGATTCGTCATACCGAAGTTCGGTCATGGCATGCAGACAATGTACACATAATGGTTTCATAGGGGAAGATTTTTTACTGGATCCTGGGGACCAGTCTGGAAGTCCTTGCATTAAGCTCAAAGATGAACCCTGTAACACTTTGCACAAAGGTCAATTCATGTCTGCTATCGGCTTACTTGAGGACTTGGAGCCCAGAGCTGCAGTCCCAAGCCTGCGGGTAGTCCCCATCCCAACTCTGCGTGAGTTTGCGGGGGCCTTTGAAGATGTAGAGGAGCTAGCTGAGGAAGGTCTGTTCCCATCCACGGAGTCTTCATCATCAAAAATTTTATCTGCCAAGAAAGAGACACTTAAGTGTAAGTCCAATGAAGCAAAGAGATGTCCCAGGGAGCATGTCCATGTGATGACAGACATGCTGCACATTCAGATCTGCTCTGCCAGTTGTCATTTCAGCAGCACCTTCATGCTAGAAATCCGGTTATTCATGAATGACCATCAGGCCACCAAACCCCATCTTTTGCTACTGCAGCCACTACGTTATAGACCCTTTCAATGAATGCATTCACATAAGAAAGGTAAAATTCAGATTTGCAGCAGAAAGATGTAAGCCACAGATTATACTTGGGGTGTCTACAGTCTGTATCTCTGATATTTATCCCTCTCAGAGCTATTTTGCTATGGGCTGTAGTGAAACCAAGACCATGAGCAAATCCAAGCTCCAAGTGTGGCAGAAATCAGGCAGCACTGGCTGCCCTGTCACACCTTGCTACCTGCCTGCACCAGATCAAGAATAACCAGGGTAACCCAGGAAAGATCACACAGCAACACCCATATAATACAGCTGATAAACCACAGACCATTAATCACAGACCCATCCAGAGCTACAAATCCACTTTAACTTTTAAAACAATCACCAGAGATTCTTTAAAAGTTACCCCTAATTCATAAAAACCATAAACATAAGGTGTAGTGAAACTTACTGAGCCTTCTGTGTACATCCAAAGGGAACTCTAGCCTCTACCTCCAAATGTGAACATAAATTAACTTTAAATGAATTACAGTCACTTTGATACTCAGTGAAGGTCACTTCAATTCCAAAGGAGTGCTTATATTGCAGTTTTACACAGATTAGCTAATCCACTGTAAAAACCAGCCCTAGCTTGAAAGGCAACAAAGTGTTTGGACAGCCGATATAGATGATGCACATAATTTATCGAGGCCAGAAAAGCCACCTCAATCCTCATCACTTAGCTCCTTCACACTAACACTTCATTCAAGATTTGAGACCTGTTTCATGTCCATCCCTCTCCACAGTCCAAGGTACGCATCCACCCTTTCGGGAACATTTCCTTTGCAAAATTTCACTTGGCAAAAACTTAAGCATGTAATTTAATACATCCCTATTCAGGAAAGCAACTGGGAATATCCAGTAACAAATACAAGCTCCCAGTTAAGACACTAATGAGTGAAATTCAATACAGGTTGAGCTTTCTGGAAGTAAGAAATTGCTAACAGTAGAGACATATTCTAGGGGAGGCAAAAGAACAGAAAAAAAATATTGTTCTCAGCCCAACAGCCTTAAGGAGCTTTCC